ACTGTAATGAAACGATTGATATTTTGTCTTGCCCGAAAATGATGTTTTAAAATTCCAAACTGACAATCAAAAGTAGAAACAACGACAATATAAAAGACTCTAGTCCCCTTTTCATTTTCGGACCATAGAACCATGATAGGGATTAGAGAAAGAAGAGACTTTAAGTCGTGTAGGTGGTTTATCACCTAAGCTTTACGAGCCTGAATTCGCACGATCCGCGGTAATTTTATGCTTGCCCATCTGATTGATTGATTGATTGAACTGGACACTTTTATATGTTTCTCCAATTTTGCCCTCGATTTCGCTCTATAGAAAGAGACTAGCTATATAATTTACTATGATAATGGTGGGGCTAATCATCAAATGCAAGCGAGAGGTCTTTATATTTAGTGCACTGGGGCTCGAGCCATTTTGTTAGTATTAGTATTGATTACCAGTTATGGTAAATAAGTCGCTCTATACATGCGTCTACACGAGCTTATAACATATTGGAAGTGGAAGTGGAAGTGTATTAGAGAATAATCTAATATGTAGTTGTAGAGATGAGCAAGCTAGTGTATAAGCTAGAGCTAGCGAACGTGTGACCTAATTTAGTACGTGCTCTAACAAGTATATATGGGATATACAATCATCCATTTCAAACTTCCATATCAATAATGATAAAAAGACAGCTTTAATAACTCAGACCAAGATCTGTTTTGCAAAGACAAGCTATGGATAAACCTAAATTTACCTTATACTCGATATTCAATCTCAGACATCCTCATTGCCAGTGAAAATTCCATCACGCAGTTATAGGATATACGATAATGATAATGAAATCTTCGGAGATGTCGGCAATAAATAAATACATCAACACTGATTTAACATAGCTATAAAAGCCCGCCTAGATGGGCCCTGACATTTCATCAAGATGAACTCAAAACATCACAGCAACTAGACTTGATTAGATCTTTCTTCCTTCACCAATAACCGTAGTTTCGACTGCTACGAATTTGCTTGTTCAGATTTAGGCCTAGTACGGATATTTATATCATGCGAAATAAGTCTGTACTTCTACTCGTATATCGGTAAGATAGTTTCGATAATATTGCTGCTGCAGTCCTGATCTCGAAGATATTCCCACATTACATTTCTCGAGTACAGATACCCGAATATTGCTCGAGTATAAAGGCACGAACTCTAAACAACCCCAGAGGACTCAGCCCGAGAACAAAAGAAAAAGAATAATATCCGACTATGGTGGGGTACCGACATAATGATTTATTTATCTGAGTTTGTGGATATCATAATTAGGTGATATATACGAGTTATACGAATGGCCTGTTAAGCCTGGGTTGTCAACTTTTATGTGTTGTGAGATGGCAATGTATTGAATGAATAATGAATATTTGTATTGAATGAATAATGAATATTGAATATTGGTGATAATGTACTGATTATTCATTTGGTATTTAACAGAGAGCTTAAAAGATTCGACAGCGAAACCCCAAAATCGTGGAAAGAAAAGCCAAACTGCTATTTTAAAACTGAAACCCTTCAGATCAGACACTAGCAACAGGGATGTATGTAAAGGAAGCAAACAGATGAGCCAATTTATTGGTTTACAAGACAGGTGAATATCCAGAACCTTTGGACTGATTTAGGTTTAAATAGGAATCCAACGAGATATTTTACAGTTTACACCCAATCCCCAAACCAAACTTCGCATCCGAGAGTACTAAACAAATTTAGTGTTACGGAAATCGGCAGTATATAAGAAACATCTACAGATACCTGATTTCTCTAAACTTACTGTGCCGCCTTAGAATGGGCATTTCAAGAATAGTAAGTGTCTATTGACTAGTGCGACAATCGTAGTTGAGTGCCCTTTAATCTGTGTACATTCTAGCGTCGAGATCTCGAGCCACAATGGTTAATTTCTATCCATTTACAGTGTAGACGATAATTAAGGCAATATTGACAACGGAAACGCCGCAGTCCTTGATATCACGAGGATGAGGTTAATGATTCGACAGCGACGGTGGAGTTCACGGTGTAATGGAAATAGAAATACTAAACCACAAATACTAATCACGATCAATTGATTGCATGACTGCTACTAACAGGCATTTCATGAAGTCTTCTCAAGTCCATCCATCACACAACACATCTAGCATTCTCACAATCCCCGTGAAATACAGACCACTTTCTCTTAGAGTATTTGATCGAGCCGAATAGTACATACCTGCACATTTTATACGCCGAGCTTGATACTGTACATTTACAATTCCAAAAAAGAGTTTGCTAAATGCAAGAATGTGTGATAAAGGCTCGAGACTTGACCAGATTGGTACCTTTTATAGTAAGATTACCCTATTATTGATTTTTTTTGGTATATTTATAGATATATAAAGCAGGAGGATATTTTTTTTTCTTCAACTGCTTTTCAACACTGGAACAGTTTTTCTAAGGAGTTAAAGGAAAAGTATTCCCACTGAATTTCATACTGTACTCTCTCCGCGCCGATTCGCGTAGTGGCAGGGAATGAAACCCATTGCAAATACCGTGGCATCGGATAATCTGTAAGATCTCTCTGTGATATGATATTTGCTTGTCTTCCAAAGTGTATAACCATGATGACCGATTAAATGAGAAAGATTACTCATAAAACGTGCGATTAAATCTCCGCGGTATCGATAACAATACTTCGAAATCGACGGTAAGGTAATAAGTTCACTTGTATACAAATGAGAGAAGAATTGACATCACTGACAGCAATAGTTTTGTCGGAGTTATGGCGCAGTATTTGAGTGACAATGACAATGACAATAAAAGTTGCTTCTCAGATTGGCGAACAGAGGGCCCGATAATGACGATGCTAGGCACATTCAACTTTGGATTTGTAGCGCCAGAAGTAGGAGGTAAAGCTATCGGAATGAGCTAGGTTCATTTGATACACATTTGTTGTTCTCAAGAAAAACACATGTGTTGTTCTTAGAAACGACACACTGTAGGTTGTGGGTGTGCAGATATGAAGAGGGCTAGTTTTATTTATAGTTACCTAGTATGAATTCTCATGTGGTGTTTATTTCGGAACCACTATTTACTTGAGCTATTATACTTCTTTTAATTTGGTCTAAATGGCTGTGCAGTTCCTTAATTTTCAACTTGAAATCTATATAAGACGATGCATAGTCCACTATGATTTCATTCAGATCTTGCCAAGCAAGACAGAAGAAACAGAACGTAAGTATTAGATAGTTGGATAATGAGGGGAAAAGCGATGGAGGAGTAAGTGCATAATAGTGATTCAAGACATATAAAGGTATATTTCATTACACTTTTGACCCCGTTGAAGATGTGACAGCAACTGTCGTTAGCAATTGTTGTCAGCGCTACCACAGAAATTGTCAAAAATGTAAAAGTTCTTCCTCTTCCTGCAGTTGACTCGGAATTCGACAAGACGGAGGTAGCCTTTCCAAAGATATGGTACGAAAAAGACGAGATACTTCTTTGATATACATGAAATTCAAATCAAAATTGGAAGGAGCTTTTTGCGATGGGAATTTTCTTCAAGAACCTTACATTTTACATTTAGGATGATTTAAAGAATGGAATAATGTCCAAGCGAAGGCTAATGGAATCAATTTTTCATCAGAGTGCGAGACTGTCCAGAAAAAATGGCTGGATAGGTCTTGACCCGTTGGTGACTATTGCCCTAACGCTGTCTCGTGGCTTTCTTCAGCTCCAATCTTTATAAGATGACAACTGTCGCGGTCTCGTTTGTTGAGAAGCAATTGTAGATCAGACAGCTAACTGCTGAATATAACCTTCACAGGTTCGAAATGATAATCTTCATCTCAAGTGCACAAAGATCCCTCAGATATTCGTTTGAGATACCTATTTTTGCCCACAAAAATTATCTATTTTGTGTAATGGATATATGAGAAATCAAATCTGAGCCTGTTTATATTTCTTCCAATTGGAATGTGGAAAGATCAAAGAATAGCATAGCAATCCTTTAAGAAACAGGGTTGATCTCACAAACAACTAAGTCCGAACGAGATCCAGTAGCCAGAAAAGCCCAGCCAAACATCGAATCGTTCGAACCGGATTAACGAGCAATTCTCGAGCCATCATTAATACGAGTATACCAACAGGGAAGCAGTGATAGCTGGTATGAAATCTATTTCTTCGCGCATCACTCGATACTTGAGAGGCATCCACAGATCAAATAACGCAAACATACTCGAGTTGGAGAGGCCGGACACTGATCCATCGCCTGGTAGATATATGAATGTTTGGGATGGATGAACAATCGAGACAGAGTCAAGATTAGCTAGCCATACTACCGGTATAGTTGTGAAATGTATGGCCCTCGGTTCGTTAACCGATACATTATCCACCCGCTGGAGCTGGAGCTGACAATACAATATGAGACCGATCACATGCAAATTTCCACGAATACGCTGTTGGAGATGGAAAAAGAGAAGAAGAATTTACCCGACGATAGGCGCTCCATTGATGACCATCTTTTATGTGGACATCCATTGCAACCCCTTTCCCCTTTTTAGAGAATATAGCCGCATCGCCGAAGACGGATAATAGTGATACTAGAAATTCAACACGACCGAGGGGATTTCATTAATGTTGTGGGGTATTTGGGGAATTCTAGGATTCATTCATTCATTTTAGCCTCGGCACTCGCTTCATGGATCCCGAAAGACGTACTCTAAATACTTCTATGTATATATTAGCAACCAACCATAATATAATCTACCAATTTCCTCCCTGTTACTCTCACAAGCAGAGTCTCTCTTTAATTTCCATCTACAATAAAACTCTATCCTTTCCCCGTTTCAAGGAAACGTCGTTGGTATGTTGAAGTTGTTGGCAAAAGGTCGTATTCAGTCTCCAGTGCTCAGAAATAGTTTTACGTCTACAAGAGTTTCAAGAGTATGTTTGTATCATCTCATATGGAGTTTATGAAAGCTTACAAGATTTCGCAGACTCTAGGTATGGCACCAGCAAATGCGCGGAGCAATAGCTCTCTCCCAACAGGTACGTACGGATACGGACACGTTCCTTCTAATACCCCGCTACATGGAGTCTCATGATTGACATTATTGGACTGCAGAATATAGAGAGGACTCATCTAAAGGTCCTATGCTACGGTTCGAAGAATCTCTCCCAAAACTTCCAGTTCCTACCTTGGAAGAGACAGCTGTTCGATACCTCAAATCAGTACATCCCTTGCTTACCCTCTCTGAGCTACAAACAACCACGAAAGCTGTTCAAGATTTCATAAAGCCAGGGGGGGTGGGTAGCAAACTTCAAGAGAAGTTAATTGCTCGTCGAGAAGATCCCAAGCACAAGAATTGGATATATGAGTGGTGGAATGATGCAGCATATTTGAGCTACAGAGATCCAGTCGTTCCATATGTCAGCTACTTTTACTCCCACCGAGATGATAGAAGGCGGCGCGATCCATCAACAAGAGCGGCTTCGATTAGTACTGCAGTTTTGGAATTCAAGAAACAAGTGGATGCTGGAACTTTGGAACCAGAATATATGAAGAAACTACCAATTTCCATGGAAAGTTATAAATGGATGTTCAACGCCAGTCGAGTTCCATCAAAGCCTGCGGATCATCCAGTCAAATACCCTGCAGACGAACACAAACACATTTTGGTGATTCGCAAGAACCAATTTTTCAAAGTTATGCATGAGGTTGATGGACAACAATTGAATACTTCTGAGTTGGAACAACAATTCAAGCGTATCTACGAGAAAGCCGAGAATACACCATCAGTTGGAATTCTCACATCTGAGAATCGCGATATCTGGACCGATGCTCGTGAAGTCCTTCTCAAGGCAAACCCATCAAATGCCAAGAGTCTTCGAGATATCGAATCCGCTTCATTTGTTGTCTGTTTAGATGATGCTGCCCCAGTCACCCTAGAAGAGCGAGCCCATCAATACTGGCACGGTGATGGCGCCAATCGCTGGTTTGACAAACCCCTCCAATTTATCATCAACAACAATGGTACATCCGGATTCATGGGCGAACACTCCATGATGGACGGAACCCCTACTCATCGCTTGAACGACTACGTAAACGAAGTAATCTTCAACAACAAACTCGATTTCTCCAACCCCTCCATCCGCTCCAATATCCCCGAACCTACACCCCTCAAATTCCACATCAACAAAGAAGTCCAAACCGAAATCGAGCGCGCCACCAAAGATTTCACCGAAGTCATCGCCGCTCACGAGCTGCGCGTCCAAGCCTACCAAGGCTACGGCAAAGGTCTCATTAAGAAATTCAAATGTTCCCCTGATGCCTACGTACAGATGATAATCCAACTTGCCTACTTCAAAATGTACGGCAAGAACCGACCCACATACGAAAGTGCTGCGACGCGACGTTTCCAACAAGGACGCACGGAAACATGTCGTTCTGTATCCGACGACTCAGTCGCTTTCTGCAAAGCCATTTCCGATCACAATGTTGAGCCTTCTGCAGCTGTTGCGGCTTTTCGCGCGGCCATAACCTCGCATGTTGAGTATATTACTGCAGCGAGTGATGGCAAGGGTGTGGATCGACATTTATTTGGATTAAAGAAATTGCTTGAGCCTGGACAGGAGGTTCCAAGTATCTATACTGATCCTACGTATGCATATAGTAGCAAATGGTTCATTTCGAGTTCTCAGCTGAGCTCGGAATATTTTAATGGGTATGGATGGAGTCAGGTGGTGGATGATGGGTGGGGGATTGCTTATATGATTAATGAGAATAGGTATGTTTTCTCTATCTCTATCTTTCCATTCTGTTACCTTTGTTTTTTGGTGATCTAAAGTTTTGGTGTGCGTGGGATTGGAAAATAAGCTAATGGTGAGAAATTAGTATCCAATTCAATGTCGTGTCAAAGGGTCTAGGCTCAGAACGCATGAGCTTTTATCTTAATGAGGCGGCGGGCGATATTAGGGATTTATTGGTTCCGACGTTGGGAGAGGCTAAGGCTAAGTTGTAGATTCGGGGTTGGTTGGGTTGAAATATGAGAGGATAGAGGATAGAGGATGTGCAGTGAGGGGAGATAGATGTATAGGGAATGGTAGAAGGTTGTGGAGAGAAGAAGAGTAGAAGGATAGAAGGAAAGAAGAGAAGAGTGAAAGAAGAGAAAGAAGAGATGAAAGAAGAGAAGAGATATAGCAGTAGAGGTAGTAGTAGTAGTAGTAGTAGTAGTATGATTGTGTAGATTTATATTATATTACTCGAGTAGAACATTAGATTCACTTTGATTTCTACAGTTGAAAGAGATACTCGTACGAGTAGATAGGATAGATAACCCAAAAATAATCTGTGTTCTATGTATACTATATGTTATATTCTTTCTATCATTTATCTACTTATCTACTTTTATATTACGAGTAATGAGAGAGAATAAGAATAAGAATTGGTTTAAGAATGGATATGAATATTGATAGTAAGTACCTGGGTAAGTAAGTAAAGTAAGCAGATAAGTAATATGGATATACTCGAGTACATGCCATACTACTTACTTACTGTATGATATGATATGATATAATATATCTAGATACATACAGATCTGGATATACTCGTACTCGAGTATATCAATATATATTGTACCTAAAGGAAAAAAATGAATGAATGGATGGATGGATGATAGGAGAATAGTTATTTGCTTGCTTGTTTATTTATTTATTTATTTATTTATTTATTTATTTATTTATTTATTTATTTATTTATTTATTTGTTCGGTATATGGATGGTAGTGGAGTGGGAGGAAGAGGGAGAGGGATATGGAGAGGGAGTGGGAGTGGTAATGGTAATGTATGAGATAGGGATGGGGATAGGGATGTGGATAGGAATATGGGAGTAAGTAATTGAGATAGAGATGTGATTAAGATATGTGATTAAGATGTGAGGTATAATTGAGGTGAGTATGAAGACTTCAAGTGAGTGTAAGTATGAGCGTGAACGTAAAAAAGTGAGTATGAGCGTGAGTATAAAGTGAAGACTGTGAGGCTAAGTTACTCGTATAATATAATAAACTCTACTCGAGTACTGTATCTATAGAATTCTGTTCAATATCAATTGTGTAAAGGTGAAAGGAGAAAGGAGAGATAGGTAAAGAAAAAGATATGATATGATATGATATGATATGATATGAAGCTAAAGTACGGTAGGCATTTCACCCTCTCTCTGGTTTTGGAGTGAATGGCTCAAGATTTGAGAAGTTTATTTTACTCTCGCATTTCTTCCTCCTATCTTCATGCATGCATGCATTGATATCATCCCCTCTCCCGTAAGCTTTTGGATGTATAATACAGTATGATACATATCATTCATGCCCTTCGTCTCTCATGTGCTTGTGTTCCTTGGCCTCCCTAACCCATCTACCCTACCCACTCTAACCTACCCACTCCAATTCCATACTACCCTCTACCTCCTCCTCAAATACCAATTATGCGCCAACTGCAACACATCCATCGGGAACGGACTAGGTACCTCACTGAACCCTGGTCTCGCCACTGGATGTCTTAGATACACGGCACTACAAATCTTCTGATTGACTTCCAAATATCTTGGAATAAATGCAAATGCACTCATATATGGTCTTGGTTGCCAAGGAGTCATATAGGGTTTCGATTCATCTATTGGATTCTCTCTCGCACGTTGAATTGCCAATTTTAATTTTTTTTGGTAATCATGTGTATCTTCTGCGTTGATGACTTTAGGGCCGTTGTGGGCAAGAGTTTCGAGATCTTCGCTTTTGGCGAGGTTGGTAGTGTAGGTTTTGAGGATGGCATTGAGGTCCGCAATGGTTTTACGATTGACTTGGGAGAGGGTGGTGCGGATTTCACGTTTCAGTTTGCGGAGGGCGATTTTGCGTTTGCCTGATGGGGCGTTCTTGCTATCGGCCGCGAGAACATCGGCGTGTTCTGAGAGAGTACGGAATTCCATGCGGAGCTTGTCTTTTGCGTCCTTTTCTTTGGATTCGGGGGTTTCTTCGGAGCTTGCAGTTTCATTCCCTTCTGCTTTCGCAGCTGCTGCGACCGTTTCCTTTTCTCTCTTGGCGGCGGCGTTCTTGGTCTTTTGATCATTCATTGAGCGAAGGGATCTTCTCAGTCCTCGGCCACTTTTGATTTGATCGTTGGTTTTTGGAGCGCCGGTTGCGAAGAGTACTCGTTCGATGTCTACTTGAAACATATCTCCTGGGTTTAGAAGGTATCCTGGATATGGCATCTGAGATCGTGTGAGTAAATAGCAGATCCTGGCCGGGATAAAATTCATGCATTCCATACCTTCTTCCCATTGACCTTAACCTTTCCGTGCACAACAAATTGCCTTGCCTGTCTCGTGCTGCTTGCAAATAGCGATCTGAATATGGCCGTATCCAATCGTCGTTCCATCGGTGCATAAACCATTGACATGTAAGGTATTTGATTTCTGTCGAAATGAATAGTCTTGGGAAATGCTGTGTCCAACCCAGATCCTCGTCCAGCAGCCAACTCGGAACCATCGTGTTCAGCTAAGTATCTACCATCCATAGGGATAACAGCGGCCGCTCTCGGCCTAAACATTTTTGTCCATTGCCCCTCTCGAATTTGCTCTCCATGGTATGCTCGACTGGCCGACTTTGCTTTCCATTTTTGCTGAAAGAATGTGCCATATTCCACTCTCGGCTTGTATCTGGCGAGATTGTATAAATTAAATTTATTCCATGATTGGCGGATTTTCTATGAGAGAAGATTGAGGATTAGCCCAATAACTTTCTTAAAGGTGTAAAAATGCGTTGATGGGGCGAGGAAGTGGGCAGAAGGGCGGAGAGGGACAATTGATGAGTGGCAGATTTCTCACATACCACTTTCTTTAACTGATGGAATCTTGACCTCATGATTGAAGTATATAAAAATGGTCGTCGATCAAAATATAAGCTTTTTAATATACTACACACGACGACGACGACGATGATGTTTCTAAATTCACCAAACACAACTCAAAATAAAAAATCACGCTAATACTTACTCGCGTATCATTAGTTTTCCGCCCCCCCGCCCGCCTGCAAAAAAAATTGACCATACAATTTTTAGTTTTTTTTGTAGCTCCTCCCACAATCTTCTTCAAGCTCTTGATAAACCAAAATTCTTTCACAATAATTACCTACTTCCTTCCTACTTACCTACAACCAAATTTCACAAACTTCTACAATCAAGTTTACCATTATCTTACCAAGTGAACCTTACTTGATATTAATAATCTTTTAAAAGATCGCCAGCTTCCTCTTTTAAGGGTCGCGCATCATCTTTTTCTTTATATCTGACTGACTCCCTCTTCACCCCGCCCGCCCTGCTCACCTTATCGAGTCAAAGGTAATCTTTTTACGGTATGAATTAATTGAAGAATCATTGTCGCAATCACTTATTCGTATTCTTTAGCTGCATATCTATTGCCAAATCTACCTACCAGTCGTACAATTTTATCGCAAGCAATCAATCATGTCAGATATTAAGATGGAAGGTCAAGAGCCAGTCGCGGCAGCTCCGGCTATTACCAACGAGGATGTAAAGATCGAACCTGAGATCGTTGCACCAGCACCAATTGAGTCAGAAACTACCACAGCTACCGAGCCAGAAATCAAGCAAGAGAAGATGGACGAGGCTGAGGTTAATACTGAAGTTAAAGAAGAGAAAACCGACTCCGACATCAAATCAGAAATTAAGGAAGAGAAAGTAGAGACTACCAATGGCGATGTGAAAATGGAAGATGAAGATGAGAAGAAGAACAAGGACAAAAAATTCGATTACGACGAGCCAAGATTTTATGACAACGGAGTTTTGAAGACAAATGCCAATGAGGTCCATGGCAAGAACAATAGTAAATATGATGCTTCAATTCTTCCTCCATCTGAGGATGCGGGATTGATTCGCCGACAGGTACGAAAATTACTTTCTTGTTGAGAAAGTTTCACTAACTTTTATGTCAAGGTCGAATTTTACTTTGGTGATTCTAATCTGCCAACCGATGCTTTCTTGATGAAGGAGTCCGGTGGTGCAGAGAACAAGCCTATCTCGATCGTAACTATCCACAAGTTCAAGCGCATGCAGCGATTCCAGCCATACTCAGTGGTCATCGACGCGCTCAAGCAGAGCAAATTCCTTGTCGTTGAAGGAGAGGAGGGAAAAGAGACTGTTCGACGCAAGAAGGCTTTTGATCCATCTGCAAAGTCGCCAAAGGCCAAACTCGAGGCACGATCAGTTTACATGAAGGGATTTGGAGATGAGGAGCCAAGCTCTCAATTTGATATCGAAGCCTTCGTTGCCAATTACGGTGAGGTCAACTCCGTTCGCCTTCGTCGTACCGAGGAGAGGCTCTTCAAGGGATCGGTTTTCATCGAATTTGCAGACGAAGAAACTGCCCAAAAGTTCCTCGCTCTTGACCCAAAACCACAATGGAAAGGAAAGCACGTTTTGGAAATCAAGTCCAAGACTCAATACATGGAAGAAAAGAACGAAGAAATCCGAAACGGCACCTTAGTACCTGGTCAACATAGAGGACGAGGAGGATTCAAGAGCCGTGGCCGTGGTGGTCGTGGGGGTGGAGGTGGAGATTTCAAGAAAGAGCGTGATGGGGAGAAGGATGGGGACCGTGATCCAAATGATTGGAAGAAGAGACGTGAAAATGACAGAGAAAATGGTTTCAGGGGTGGTCGTGGCCGTGGTGACCGTGGACGTGGTGATCGTGGACGTGGTGGTCGTGGAAGAGGTGACCGCAAAGATAATGATAGAAGGGGCGGACGTAATGACCGTGGTCCTCGAGGCAACGATCGCAACAAGGAACGCAGTGAGAAGAATGGGTATGTTCCACTTCTTCCCATTTTTTATCATATACTAACAAACAAGCAGTGACGATAAGGAAGTCAAGGTCGAGAAATCCACAGAATCCGCGGAAGCCCCAGCAAACGATAAGAAGAGAGCCAGAGAAGATGACGGAGGTGCCGAGGAACATCAAAACAAGAAGGTTGATGTTAAGCCTGAAGTCGCCACCCAGGCGTAAATTGTATCCCGTCTAACATCAATCTCGGCGTTTCCTGTCTTTGCAATCGTTTCACGGCATTGTCATCACGGCATGGTTCTTTCAAAGGGCGTTTTACGAGTTTTTTCTTTTCGGTGGGGGACATCTACATTTGTACCATGAATTTGATTGATGGACATGGACATTGCATACGCGGGTAGTGATTTTTGAACCCGGTAATTATAGGAATTTCCATTCAACGGAATGACATATGTATAAAATGGGTGCAAATGATAAGAGGAAATACCTCAAATTGCGATACATTAAAGGGGCTTAGCGAAAGCTTACTCGACTATTTCGGAGACAGAGGTCTTGTAAATAGAAAGGGGAAGAGAAAACCGTGGATATGAATGAGAGTGGGAGAGACTTCCACTTCAGCATCTGAGAAGAAATATAATAAATGGTCACTTCATTCTTTTTCTTCCATGTGAAATGGTGAAGCATCGAATGTGTCGATTCTCGATGGTATAATACACGGCCGTAGTAGTACACACTCAGCCTCCTGCCACTTGATAAATAAGGTGGAGTGTTTGATTCTTATTTCTTTTCTTTTCTTTCATTGCATTGCATTGCATTGCGACATGTATTTTACAGATACTCGTATCGACACATCGACACATCCATCTATATCATTTCTATCTTTCGCTCTTTCCTTCCTTCCTTCCTTCCTTCCTTCCTTCTTTCCTTGAGAAGAAAAAGAACTTATACCAGTAATGACTTTGAGCTTTTGAGTCCCCTGCACGCCCACCCGCAAGCCCCCATCCCACCCCTTCTCTCCCTGAAGTCCTCCTATGTGCAATTGCATACCTGGGGTTGTAATATTCTAATACATAATAGATCAAAATCAGTGATTCAATGATCGTATTTTTCCTCATCTTCATCTTCATCTTCATCTTCATCTTCATCTTCATTCAATGACTGTACACGAGATGCACGAGAATGCATGAGACGATTGATCATCTCGATCCAATCCTCGTGTGTGTTCTGCACCCACCCACTATTTTTGTGATATCTCTTCTTCCTCTGTTACAGATTCCACAATCCACATCCCACATCCCGAAATTACCGACGCTTAAGCAACAATCTCGCCAATATCCACATGCACCGGCTCCCACACCTTCTTCGTCTCCTCTTTCCCACCAACTTCCATATCACTCGGCAAAGTCATTGGTCCCGGACTATACAGATACCAGGCCTTCAAACCCGCGACACTAGCTCTGATTCTCGCCTCGTCTAAACTCGCACCCGGTGCCTCTCCTAGCTTATCTCGACCGCTAAAGATACCCACCACGAATACTGGACTCCTGCTGAGTCTACCCGTCTCACTTAATATTCTGGCGACTGGGGCTTCAAAATCCTCTCGTGCGCACAAGCGGGCTAAATCTCGTGCTGGTTGCGAGAATTGGAAAAGGGTGGAGATGTCGAGGTGGCGGGCGAGGATGTGTTGTTGGATGAAAGTTTTGGCGGCGGCGTGACTACCGTGGAGGTAGATGGCGCCAATCAGAGCTTTGACGAAGGAGGCGTATGCGTTGTTCATTGGTTGGGGATCGGTGACTCGATTTGATTTCCTGACTGTATCTCCAAATTCATCGTCGTAGACTACTCTGCTGGAAATACCTCTTCTGTAATATGGTGCATCTTTTCTGGTTGTTTTACCCAATGAACCGGGCTCTGCGTTCGGATCTAAGTGCGTGTATTGAAGCAATCCTACATCGACTTCCTCTCCAGGAGCATAAGCAGGTTGAACACCCCAATCTCGTCCTACGAGATGTAAAGTGTCGGGGCCCGTGTATGCGAGTATAGCCGCGTAGAAGACGGCCATGGGCAATCGAGGATAGGTACAGATGAGATATTCGGAGACGTGGTAATTTAATAGATCGGCTCCGATACGCGACAGACCTGTGTTGTTGAAAGCGAGGTTTGAGTCTGCGGAGGGGGTAATGAGGGTTCGCATGAGGGTTTGGAGGGGTAGTCTGGCGGGGAGAGAAAGACGAGCGTGGAGGGCGGCGACTTTTGCGGAGGGTCGTGGGAGGGGTATTTTGTAACTTGGTGTTTCCAATGGTGGTTCGCCATCTTCGTGAACAACTTCTTCTGATAATTTGCCGCTCGCAGATGTCGATTGCATGCGCACATATGCAGGTATTGAAGTCGCAGTCCTTGGAAGGAGATTTTGTGTAGGCCGCCTCGGGCAATATGATCTAGTTTTTGGGGAAAGCAATTGAGCGCTCCATCTTTCCAAATGTAACCTCTTCATCATTTCTTATTTATCCCTTGGCCAGCCTTCCAATTCGAGTGTGAGATTTATAGTGATCGAGTAAATGTAGCAGACGGGAATCAGATTTGCGATTTCGATAACAAATTCCAAAATTTCTCACCCAAGCTCGTGTGATGCATGCTATATTTAATGCACTAGTGCTGATATGTATTAGCGTAATTCGATATCTGGTGAACTAGGAACGACATCTCGAGAATTGACCAGAATTAGAAACCTCAAGAAATCCCTCGCATATTTCTCAATTTATTTAAAATGGTATGTTTTCTTCTGCCCGTGTTCATCGTGATATTTCATAGATGTAAATCTAACCAATTCCCAGGGCGGCAGCGGCAAAATCCCGTAAGTTCACTACACGAAACCTCAACCTTCAGATCGCAATCCGTCTAAAGAACCAATCTGACCGCCGTTACTCATGGCAGATACCCCAAACACGTCTGGTCTCCAGCCGGAGGTTGGTACTCGCAACCTGGTAATTGGAAGGCCAATACTGCGATTATGGTGACGGTGATTGTGGGGATTACGGCGGGCATGTGGAAGTTGAGTGCGGAGAGAGAGTATAGGACAAGTTTCCCGAGGGAGGGCAGATTTTTCCCAAGCAGATAGTAAGTTGGTTTCAGTTTTGCGATTTGAGGGATGGGTTTCGAATAGTGGAGTGGGGAGGGGCGTGGGGAGAGGGGGAATGGGGAATGGGGAATGAGGGAGGAGGGGTGGAGGGTATACAAAATTCAGGACTGAAAGAGACTAACAAACTTCTAGCTGGAGTAAACAAATCAAAGAGCACGAAGCAGATAAGAACAAGAGTATAACCGATCGTGTGGTAGAGAAGGTTACTGGAAACTAAACCATAGAATGGTGAAGGAATTGTACATATGTTGGGTCCTTATGAAATAAATACGCAACTTCGAGAACGCTGATTGCAATTATGAACATGACAATGGAAGCTCAATGCTATCTGTGACATGCTGGGGAGAGATTGAAGAAGGGACTATAGTTGCGTTCTCAATTATGGCCGCATCTAGTACTTGCGTTGATGGTATGACATCCGCCTTGCTTGTATCAATATCATTCCGCCTAAGCAAATATGCCTGCGGTGAGTACTCAAGGTAGTACAGTGCATATTGTAGGCATTTTATTTGAATTTATACAGCACAAAATATCGTAAAACCTTGTAATGAATTCATGATATTATTCATAGCATAGCGTACACCACAGTTGTCTCACATTGAAAAGCCATGGAGTGTTCATTTATTCGTCTCTCTGAGTGGAGTACTCTTCACTATCTATAGCATGTTATACTTTGCCTCAAGGTGTAGAAGTCGATATCGAAACAGCACTGTCAAATCACTACGTTCAAAAGAACTCACGATTAATTAGTTTGGAGTCGACCTGATATCTACGCTTGAGCGCCAGTTCCCAATACTATAGTATAGTAAACAGGTCAGTCAGTCATGCCCCTAATTTGATGCAAAAATATACAGGTCAAAGTACCATAGATTAATATGCCTCGATTAATCAATAAAAACACCATTGGATGTATATAGAACATACCCAAGGACTTTTTGCGCAAATATCAAACATCCATCTATTCTATCATACATCTATCATATATATTTCCATATTTGACCATTCATTCCCGGTACTAAAAATATCAAGTAAACCCTTAATGTAATCAAGTAGAAGCAGTATGGCGCAGTGGTTCGATAGAATCACTTTCCGTCGTCGCTAATAATAGAGCGACAATCTTATGTACCTCGCCTGGCTGTTTATCACTCACATGCCTCGTATACGATCCTCAATCTATAGATAGTTCTGGCTTGCTTGTCGAGCTGGTGCTTCTAATACGTTTTTTCTTTTTTTTTTTTTTTGAAGAGGAAGGAGAGCGGAGTGTCTTAGCCTGGATATCTCGTCTTAATGATACGATTGCAATGGTTATGCGATGAGTATGATTATAATAAGAATAAGAAATTATGATCTACAAAAGAGTGAATTCACAGACATAATATCCACCGCAAGTTCCCCAACCTATCTATCATACATACGGGATCCTTCAATGAGTCTCTGCTCCAGTTTCCTTTGGCTATATTATCCCGAAGCCAAGAAAAACCCACCAGTAGTTATACTCGTCAAAAGTAAACTGCATGTTGGTCTAAAACCATTCGCTACATCCACTTTATAAGTAAATACTCAGATCACTTCGTGGAATAGTTTCCTCTCATTGTGACTTTATTCAGTGACTTTGGAATCGATAACTTGACAGGATCAAAGCAGAATGGCTAAAGACCAAGCTTCGAGTCCCGTTATTTATCATTTTTGAAGTTCATTGTGGATGAATCAGAACAATCTAGAAGCATTGTCGACACTCATACTATAGCTAATACTCAAAGAAAAAAAGTTAGTCGGGTACATTCGTTGGGAATGAGCTTTTAGTTTATCATTTCGTTGTAAATTTCAAGGTATATAAGAGTATCAAGCAAGCCCAATCTTTTTGATAATATAATATAACCATATTTAGTCAGCAGAACATCGAGAATATGTGCTCGCCGTGTGGCTAATGATGTCTGTTAGTTAGTCTTGACATTTTATCTCCTACTTGGATGAAAATCACGCGGTGGAGAATATTTGAGAAGACAGTACAATAGCTTGATGGTTTGGGCTGTGACAACATGAATGTGTTATCTACTCGACTTGTTGAGTTTTGTTGTCGATTTATGGGGGATGGTTGTTGATACATGTGCTAAATTCTAGACCTATTATTGTTTCATCGAGATCTGGCGCTGACTACGGTATACTCTCGATCACTTGTTGACACCAAGGCATACCTTATCCCTCTACCGCAATACGAAAGCTGTGAGAAATGCAGCTCAAGGGCTAGGGCATTATACACCAATCTGTATTCGTACGTTTATTACCATGAAAGTATTTGTCACGGATAACTTCTCGATATCAATTTCCATTTTGTTTCTATCCACAACACCAATCACTGGCAATCAGTAGAATGCTATATCAGGCTATAGTATATCCTAGGTATATTCGAAGAAGTTTTCCCGCCTCAACTACTCGATAGGATTCGGCCTTCTACTGAGGTCTCGGATGTAGAATCAAGCTTTGGAGGCACAATAGTTTTAGGATTATTGGCCATTGCACGTTAGTATGTAGTGATACAGTAAGTAAGTCACATATTACTCTAGAAATATGTTAAATTTCCCGCTATTCCCGATTCATTTATATGTATTTTTTCTCAAAGCTACACGTCAATTAGATTTACGTAACCTTTAATAATTATCAGAGTAGTTCGGTCGAAATCACGCTAGTAAGTATGAGTATAAATGATATCCCTTGACCTTTTGACATTTCCTTCAACATGTAGTGGAAAGAAAAAGAAAGTATTCACAAATTGTGAGGTATAAGTATCATTACAATGCAAATACAAAGCTCACCTATGATGTAGAGACAAAGGCTTGGTTGGAAACTGCTTCCGTCAAGACGTCGAGTTTGTGTATTTCCGAAACTTGAAAGCTACCATCGTGGGTAATTTACTTGTCATTAACGTTGTGCTATACTCACCGTTGCCAAAACGACTACAATATCGCCATAGACTCTTTTCTTTGCACCAAGTCCCCTCTTCACTGTAGCGAATATCGAGGTTTATAATGACTGATATATCGGCGATCGAACACTTTGAGATGATTCTTAGCTATAGTATAGTACTCAATGGACGAACTCAACATATTGTTGCAATTTTATGTTAGACATGACAGTTGTATCTACCTCCTGTGGATGCCGTTATAGGAGGTTTTTATACCGTACTTTGTCATTTTACTAAGGATTTTGAGGTAGTGCTTTGAAGATAATACTCGAGTATTCTTTTTCGTTACGAGAAATGTATAAGCATGGCACAAGTAAATACCTGAAAACAGGATTGTATGACTGTGTTATATAAACTTCCTGCCTCTTCGTCTCTCCTCGCTTTAATCATAAAAAGTACACTCAATTTCTCCATCATAAATTAGTGGGTGTAGTCGGTTTTTCTTGTGTAGTCTGTATCCTGAGTGGAATTTTTAGTCGAGAATCTATAGAGTTTGATGATAGAAAACAAGAAAACATTACTTTTTAATGTTAATGGATTATAGACTATTATTATCAAGTTATACTTATACTGTCATAAATGGCCATAACATTGTCTTTTGAACTTCTCATCTCATCATAGTTTTCCAACTTTCAAACCCTAGTCAACTAACGAAAGAGAAGAACGAACGTGAATGTACTTCGTGCTAGTCTCCGCCAATTTCAAGACATACGCCGCAGAGATCACAATTCTTCAACCCATAGTCTGCGTAAATCCATCTGCACATCTATATTTATAGTAAAACATCAAAATTATTCACTACATCCATACATATCTCTTCCATAGCCTCCAGTTCTACCGATGATTAACATGGTCTCAAATGCTCTGCTCCACTCTGAAGCTCAAAGAATTGGTTTACCAACTTCTCATTCTTTAAATCCTACTAAGAGTATATATACTCCACCACCCGCTCAATCTTCTTTTCTTTAAATCAGAAACCCATAGGAAACAATCCCATGATGGCAGAATAAGAAACCCATAGGAAGGACAGCCACCACCTCTAGATTTCAGGATCGCCTTGCGTAATCAGTACTAGGAGTACTGTAATACACAGGTCTCCACACTCCACCGCATTGATACATACATACAGGAGGAATGTCAACTATCATTGACCACCGATTCCCAGTTGCTGTCTAGTTGCAAATTCTCGCCTATCACTTTGACTTGTATTGTCAATATATTTCGAACGCATTTATTTCTGTCTTCAGCCCTCGCATCCTAGCTTCCTTACCCACATTCTAGATTTCTACCCAAGTCCCCCAGCGAATTTTTGACTCTCTGATGCATGTCTCTGCCATGTCCTTTACTCTAAGGCTACCAATAGACCATGAATGATTTAAAATGCCGCAAGTAGGGTTATATACGAGTATATACTCGAGTATATATACTTTTTACTAAGTTAATTTATAGGTGTCCCATTTGTTTCGGATAAGAGTATCGGTCATCAATGAAAAGCTCCGTTAGGCATGGAAGTATGCATTACTAGTATATTAGATACTGAAGGTATATGAAGTAATTTTACATATCCCAAACCTCATTAGGAGCTTCAAGTCATATTTAACAAAGAATAGACAAGAGATAGGTCAGGTCAACAAGGAAATCACTAATAAAGATCCACATAATTACCGAATTTTCAATCGACCAAAGGTATATAAGTGCAATATTATGATGTAAAGTTTTTCTGTACAATGTTTCCGATATATTTTATCGCCAAAAACTAAGGCAAATACTAGTATTTGCTGGGTAATTACTGTATTCATCGCTTCCTTTAGGTCGATTGTAAAGATATAACGTTTGCTACGCGTACTTACTTCATTATAGCTACGAGATGAGTTTCATTCGTTGTTAATGCGAGAAGTTATTGGAGCGGTTGCTGCTTCTTGATTATTTCATCACCGCACTTTCACCGTCGTATTCTAGATTCTCATCACAGATTTAGTATTAAATCTCATAGCATTCACTCGACATATCTACAAAAAGTCCTCGGTTTCCCACCTAAATAAATCCCAAACAACGAAATACCCTATGATGTATCAACGCAGCCTGTCACTATTCGAGCCTGCATGATCTTTTACCATGGACGATGGTCGGCATAATAAGTATCCTTATATCGTTATATTAAGCCAGACCATCACAGCGATCTTGATAGACGACTTCATACTCTTGATTCCCATTCCAAGCCCCTTTCAATTCGCTAAGATTCCTGTTCCGCCCTACATGCTACCGAAGATCCACACAATATACTCGAGTACAGAAGAAGCATCTGCAACGGCTAAATCGCTTGATCATCACCTATACATACATTGAAATCACAACATATATTCACAGCCGAGTATAATACAGAGATCTTTTACTTCTTCTATTTACTGTGAATTAATATAACGCTACCTTCCTCACTATTCCAACAACAAAAGCTTCTTAAATTCTCATCTCGTGCACCATTATGATACCCAGTGGGTATACATCTCACCCCTCTCTCCGTGCTCTCCTCCTGAACAGCAAGCGCGGCCGCCTTCGCCTGGATCCTCTTTGTTGATTTCCACTCTGTTCAATTTGCTGAGGTTGTTGAGATTGCTGCTGACCTTCTGGTGGTTGAGATGCCTGATATCCACGCGAAGGTCGCTCATCATCATCATCAAAATCATCCAAGAATCTTCGATATCCTTTCTTCAAAGCAGGTTTCGGACCAACCAACTCACGATCCCCATCCCCACCTCCACCTCCACTCTTTTCATACCCTACATCACTTCCATCACCCGACGCTATTTCCAAAAAACTCGCATAAGCAGGACCCTGCTCACCCTCCAAATTGTACACCCTCTTCTTCACCTCCTGAAAACCTTTCAATTTCCAAGTCATCAGTGGGAACCTGTCCACAAGAGCATCTTCGTATTGTTTGGACATTTCGACGTCTTTTAAAAATTCGTTCATCGCTTCTTTTATGAAGGAATTATCTTTTTGTTGGGAGGGAGTGGCGTTGGTCCAGAGGTCTTTGAATTCTTGGAGTATTTTATCGATGCTTTGGGATGCGGGGTGTGAGGTTGAGGATGAGAAGATGAGGCGCTTGTTGCCTTTGGGGCAAGTGAATGATGGAGCGGACATGATTATACGATAATAATGTGGTGCTAATAAGTGACCTGCCCCTTCGATTTCAACTTCGGTGATAAAGAGAAGAGTATGTAGGTAGGTTTGAAGAAATGGTAGGTTCGCGGTATGTTAATGAAGTAGAAGTAGCTGATGAGTGACCGATAGATGTAGTTGAAATACTTAATAATTTGTTTCGATGGAAAGTTTCTGACGATGATGTGATTAAAAGGCTGCTCGGTGTTGATATTTACATGTCATTGTAAAAGGTAAAGTAGAACAGCAACCAGAAGAGAAAGAAAGCATTCTCCGACCAAATAATACATCAAGCACTACTAGGTATGTATGTATCATTTATAAAATAAACCACTGATCCAATCCAATCCACTCACTCAGATATTTCTTGCTGAGAAACTTCATATTTAGACTCATCATACACATACATCCATCAGGGAATGTACGGACTCACAAACTGAGTTTAAATTAAAGCTGTACGTAACGACATTTCACCACGGTTCTGGTCAGATATTCATCACTGTGCAATATCATTATTGGATTCACATTAGGTCAACCCACGAGTGGGTGTGCAGACTCATAAGCGACATCAACATTACTCGTACATATAACAAAATTTTCACAATGTCTATCTGTGTACTCCAAAACTCGATGAACCCATTCAAAACAACGGTACTATAACATTTGAAGAAATCAAACAAGAGTTGGAATATAGATAAATACTCCAAGTAAGCAAGCGATGTATAAATCCGCGTACCCACTGGTGGTCATCATCTATCGATGAGTCTTAAGCGCCGCTACTATTGAAAATCGAGATATTCGCATGCGTATTGATAGCAACACATTAATCTTGTCTGAATCAATACTGTGTTCATTCAAGTGAGACAAAAATACATAAGACTCGCTCCAGAGAAACTCTTCAGGCGATCTCCCAAGCTAATTTCTTTCAACCGGCCCATTCATCATGACGCAGCGTAGAGATTAGCTTCATGAAAACTTAATAATTAACTCATCTCATGCCTGAAACCAATTCATATATCATGAGAACCATAAACTCCTCGCATACATGTATAAAATCATCGTTCATCCCTTCGTCTGTATCTCCCTCGCACATAAATCAACACTCGTTAATGATCCCCCGAGATTCCACAGTCTGCACTGTCTATACCCCAAATCCCTGTCCCTTTCGACGAGGTCTAGATCTTATAAACCACATCTCCCTCCGTATACATGATATAATTCTTCTCATCCATCGCTTTAAGTGCTGCCACTCCCTCGGCCCTCTCAAAACTACCTCCTGCTCCTCCTCCGATACGTCGATTCACAGCTTCGATGATAGCATTTACATCCGCGCTGTCGTCTTCAAAGAGGGCAGTACTCATCATTTGTCCCAATGTTGTGCGGAAGACAGAAAAACGATTGGGTGTAATACCTGTTGAGACGTTAAGTGCGGCGGTTCCTACGGCAAGTTCCTCTTCTTCGTCTTGTTCCTCGACATCTTGTGATTGAGACTGGGATTGACTTGAAGTACCCCTCAATGCCTCAGAAGCAGGAAGAGAAGATGCGAATGAGGTTTGGGATTGTGTTGGTCCGCGACTTGAAGATGCTCCAACTGGACGAGAGCGTACTGGACTTGCTGTATATAAATCGTCTTCCCCCTCATCAATGTTATTCTGCGCCGCACTTGGACGCGCACCGTTGTTTCTGGAAGAAGAAGCCGCCGAAGCTCTTGTCCTTGCCGTGCCAGGTGTACGAGTTGCCCTCGAAGATGGGGCGCGAGAAGTGGGAGCAGGCGAATCATCATCATCTGACGATGAACTCTCGTTTCCTGAAGACTCGTCTTCAAGAGGTCTAGTCTTTCTCCTCTTGTTTTTCTTCTCATCTTCAAGCACCTCCTTGAAAAGCGCAAATCTCAAGATACTCTCAGCAGCCAGTGCATCTACCTCCTCAACCCTATTACTCAATCTAGATTTCGCATGCGCAGTACTCAAACGAATCATGGTTTCCAGTGTTCTCACTGTCATTGCATTTGTCTTTCGTTGATTTCCTTGCATATCGTCGTTTCTTAGTGCTACATATATCTCGCTAATCCTGTCACTAGCTTCTTGGGTCAAAACTGGCTTTATTCGAGTTTTGGCGTATTGAATGTATTTCTTCATGAAAGGGATACTCAAGACTTCGACTCTGCGATGAGCGCCGCGGCCAGTGGTCACAGTTACACCGGCGTGTAACATTTCGTTAAACTTTTCGTAGACATGTGTTACTTGGTTGGCGTCTGCTTCTTGTTCAACGCCTACCCCAAGGGTTTGATGAGCTTGTTCACGGACGGGGGCTCCTTCTTCGGTTTGCGGGTCACGGTATCGGTGCATTCTTAACACGTGTTCGGAAATTTGTCGATCGCGGAAATCATCAATGTCGTCTGTCACAATGAATAGTAAATCGAAACGAGAAAGGAGAGAATCAGGGAGTGCGATATTCTTGTGGGGGTCTTTGTGGGTGTCGTATTGACCGAAGATAGGATTAGCGGCTGCGATGACGGAACAGCGAGCGTTGAGGGAGGTATGTATACCGGCTTTGGCGATTGTGACAGTTTGTTGTTCCATGACTTCGTGAATGGCTACTCTGTCTATGTCGGACATCTTGTCGAATTCATCGATACATACCACTCCACGATCAGCTAAAACCATGGCACCTGCTTCGAGACGACGTTCGCCAGTTTCTTTATCAGATGTAACAGCGGCTGTGAGACCAACACCAGAAGATCCTCGACCTGTTGTTGCGATCGCGAGAGGAGCGGTATTGAGGACAAAACGGAGAACTTGAGATTTGGCGGTAGAGGGGTCACCAACCATGAGAATATTGATATCTCCTCTCAAATGTGTTCCATTCTCAAGGTTCTTTTCCAATCCACCTAATAGCAAGAGAAGAATAGCTTTCTTAATATGTTCGTGTCCGTAAATACTTGGCGCCAAAGACTGAGAGAGAAGGTTGAAGAGATTCTTCTTCTTTGCAATCTTGTTAATGTTTCGAATATCCGTATCAGTAATGGTATGTGTCGCAATTCCTCCTCCAGATTTGGACGATAAAAGAACCACATTATTAGCCAAAACCACTGTTTTGAAAAGCGCACTGCTATGCCCCGCGTTTCTATTTCCCAAACTCCTGTATATTCCCACAAGTTGTACTCGATCACCAGGCTTAACTTTGTCAACCAAATCATCATCCAAAATAACATCCACACCTCTTGGAAGTTGACCTGCTGGTGCTCTTTCCGGCATTTCTTGAATAGATATCGTTTGATGATCTCTGTATGTGCAATAGCCATATTCCGTCACCAGTGGGTTTCCCTGCTCATCTTCCTGCGGATAAACACTCGATGTACTTGCTCCACTCGCAGCCATTGTTTGATCCTTGTATTCCCGGAAATGGAATATCTTCTTCTTCTCATTATAGTGCACACTTTTGACCACCTTCGGCCTCACTAAAGAACATCTCGTAACAATCCCTTCCAAACTAACCATTCTATTCAAATGTGTACTCGACAGTGTCCTAGGATTACATGCAAATTGACCAAAACTTCCGGAGAAAGCACAATAGTACATAGTATCCTCAGAAGATTGTTGAGCATTGCTAGTTGGAAGTGTTTGTACGATTTGAAATAATGCACGGTCGAATGCTTGGGCGAAATCAAATGGTTGTTCGAGAAGGCCATTTGCCAATTCTGGATTATGTGCGCGGACTTCATCGATACTGACAATTAGACGTCGTTGGTGTTTTTGAAGCATGAGAATAATTTCGGATCGATAGGTTCTTGCAGATCCATCAACTATAGTTTCCTAGATTAGTGCTTGGAGGTAATTAGAGGAGATAGCAAGGGGAAAATACGTGGATCAAGGAATTCTTGGGCAGACCGCACACGATCGGCGACAGCCTCATCTCTTAATTGTGTGCCGTCCATTGCAGAGAGTAGGTAGATTTTAATATCCTTAAATGTTTTGTTGTAATCAAACACAAAAATATGGTGGTTTGTTGTTGATTTCAAAGAGGGGCAGCGGTATAGGGTTGCCGTGGTGTTGATGAATTATCTTAACTCGCGAAATTTCATGCAAAAGGAGAAGTCGCGTCGAAACGCGATTAGGGCGCGTAAAGTGGTTTCGGTTGACACGTGATCTAGATAATTCTGTTTCTTCCTCGCATCAACAACTTTGGCACCTCATTGATGCGACTCGATACAATAAGAGTATTTTGCAGTTCACTTTGTCTACATACCACACAGAAGTTCTCTGTGTTTGTATTTTCAGATAATAGCCACATCTTGAATCAAACTTCCGATTGTATACAGTTATACTCAAAGAAGAATCGAACCTCCTATGCAAGTCCGGATATGTGTCTGACCCACGCAATCGATGGACTCAGCCGTGGACATTACTTCAACATATTTGTTACGCTCTAATTCCTCATACCACATCTGGATGACATTTACTGTGTATTTCACTGCAGTCTCTGTTTTCGTTTTTCGTTGACTTGACATTCCACATACAAATGTCCTACCTTGTATTTTCAAGACGATCGTGTTAGTCAACTCGATACATTTTATCCATAGCCTCATCTTACCTTTCAGGTCTCACTGCACCTCTTTGTACCGAGTCTGTCACTTCCATTTCAATTCTTCCCGTTACTTTCGCTCTTATTACAAGCCAAGTCGGCCATGACTATGCTGAGAGACAGCATCCAAGATCTTGATGATTTTGTCACCTACCTTTCTTTATTTTTCGGTCATTTGAACATTGACAAGATAGTAATCCCACATTTATTTGACGTGGATATTGCATCCCTAATATATGTTAGTGGGACCCCATGAAGTATATGGAGTTGATGAATCTTTTTCATTTCCCACGAGATGGTTTCGACATACTTAACGTCATCCTATTATTTCCGTAAGCCTTTTTAGCATTTTGGTGAATTGTTTGCGGTGATATTGGCCGGTGATTCTCGAGCACGAAAAAGATTTCCAAATTGGTGAGCGCCTCAAACTTCTGACATCTTTGAAAATTTCCTGTTATTATATGATTCTTTTATTACTATTTCATATTGAAATTCAAGGTAGAATATGAGGCAGAATGTCAGAAGATCATTAATTCATAGAGAATAATCCATTTCTTTTGCTACACACGCGACTGTAACAACAGTAAAGCTCAATATGTGTATGCTTTAAGACTCATCTATAGATAATATTATCACTTGTCATATGATTCCGAATATAGTATGTGGCAAAAAAACATTATACTCAATGAGTATGGGTGGTTTATTTATTCTCTCAATGACACATACGGTACAATAATGGTTAATAAAAACAGAGCATTGCTCCTGTCCTTTGCTTTTCTACTTTCTCTTTACATATCAACATACAACATATCAACATACAACATATCAAAACATCAAGACAACAAGACATCAAGACATCAACATCAACATCAACATCAACATCAACATCAACATCAACATCAACATCAACATCAACATCAACATCAAAAACACCTCCCAAACAAGTCATCGCAATACTCCGAACCTTCTCCTCTTCTCTCATCAAAACAAAAACACAAGAACTCAAAACACCTCATCCATATCCACATCCACATCCGTCTATCAACCCCCCAACCAAGAAAACCCAGTATTACGCACATCTATCTACCTATCTATTCATCCATCAACGACAGCCAGTTCACTACTACCACCATATCACACGCGTTGACAGAGGCTCTCCACTTGAAAATTACCGCTTCGTCACTTCATCACCGAAGTCTCAATATTACCCACCCACCAACCACCACCGACACCTACGTGCAAAGACAACATCATGGCCGAAAACCAGAACCCAACCGCTTCCTCCTCCACCTCTCCCCCACAACTTTCTTTCGACAAGGAAATCTCAGCACGCATCGACGAGATCGACACAGCCTTACAGGAGATCGAAGCAGAATTGGATAAAATCCCCGACTCCACCGAAAGAATGCTAGGACATGTCAGGTCTTCACTTTTGAGATCAACGCACATGTTTAGTGCTATTTTATTGGACTATGCGAAGATGGATTCAGATAACCGGTCGAAGTGCCACAAATCAACTTTCGAGATCGAAAGGCTTCATTCTTTAGTCAAAGACCGTTTCGCTGAAGTGAACAGATTTCGGGTGTAAATTTCAGAGAGTGTGTAGTATTAGATTGCCAGTGCGTAAAGTGTAGGCATAGACGGGAAATGAGAGCAGACTAGCCCGGCTGGAATGAACAAAGTGATATCATCATATGGGTATATATAATATTGCATTATATTATCTACTGAGAGATATCGGATATAATATTACATCACACATAGGTATTTAGGGAATGAAATAAGAAGCCTGATTTTAATTACAATTGATGCTTTGGATCGATATTCTTATATATACTCGTATCTCTCTCTGTGTAGACCAATCATATAAGTTCTTTTATATTTTTCCGTCCTCATCTTCTTTTTAGCACCCGACCCGGCTTTTTAAAGTCATTTTGTCATCCCCCCCACTCCCCCCCCTCCCAAAAAAAAGTCTTAACTAAAACCTTTTCCTTCCGTCATCTTCACGACATCTCTTGCTATTGCCTACCGCCTCCTACCAAGAACTTGGAATAACCCCCTCAAAAACCACCCGATTATCTACCGAGAAGGTGGCTCCGAAGGTGCCACACTTACCCTTGCCAGGAATTCCCTCAGTCTCTCTTTAACTACTACTCCATTCCAAGTTTCTTCTCTTCTATCTCCCCCTCTTTCTCTCAATTCCGGTACCCCCACCTGTTCGATCGCAAAACTAGCCGCTACAGCCCCCCAGCAACTAGCTTCTACGATACCCCTCCCCCTCGCCAACGCAATTGCTAGACCACCCAAAAAAGCATTACCGCCTCCCGTCGGATCTACGACTTTCCTATTCCCATTCTCATTCAAATTCTCATCTTTGAACTCGTCCTCCCCTGGCTCCCCTCCCTGATGAAACGCCGGAATCCATTTTTCGATTCCCGGATCTACTGCTGGGTAATCATTTCTTTCAAATTCTATTTCCCCCGAATCGCTCAGCAGTCCTGCGAATAAATCTTCCATGTTCATATCTAGAGTTAATCCACCTCTCGATCTATTTGCTGGACGTTTACGTCGACTTTTGCTTGCGCGTCTACTCCTTCCGCCGTTTTTGGCTACGTAACATCCTAGTGCTCCGCAACGGACGACGATTCCATAGGATTGGAGGGGCATGGATGCGAGTAATTGTTCGCAGGATCTTTCTACGGCTTCGGTGGAGATTTCTCCTGAAGGAGTGAGGCCTAGATCTTGGTCGCCCATGAAACCGGCTAGTTCAGAGTGGTTTGGAGAGAGGACGTCGATGTATGGGAGGACGTTGGTACAGTTTAGGAGTTGGGTTGGGGTGCAGAGATCGGGGACGGGTTCCCAGATAAATAGAGGTTTGGGTGCGTGAGGGGAGTGGGATTTGCGGAGAGAGAGAATGCGGGTTATGAGATCTATGCAGCGAGTTGGAGAACAAATGAGATGAAATGATTTTGCGAATAAAAGGGGTGGATGAGCAGCTAAGGTTGTTTCATCGAGACGCAGTTTTGGAGTAGTGTATTTGAAACTGCGCATTTCGTTGGAGTCATAGCCGTTCCAACCGCGAGTGGTGAGACGGGTGAGGTCGGTACGGGTTAGGCAGGAGGTTTGCCATGTGGTAATTTGGTGGGAGATTGAGGGGGGAAAGTCGGATCCTTTGTCGACTATCCAGGAGATAGATTGGGAGAGTGGTGGTGGAGAAAAAAGACGAGCTCCTAGGGCGGAATAGGAACCGGCGCCTCCAAGAACATCGTATACTGAGGGGGTTGGTGGGAGGTAATGTATTTCATCTGAATGTGAATGTTAATATGTGTATCAAAATCGAATTGAAGTATGTACATATCATTGGATACATTGAAAAGAAGTGAGGAGTATGGTCATGTTAACAGATAGCGGTATATCATCCTTGATCATGGAAGAGGACACCGGAGAAAACCGGACAAAAATTCATGATCCCCATTTTTGTAAATCAGTTTTTGAAGATATATATCATCTCAAAAAGATTCTACTACTATCATCTCATGAGAAAGATTCATAACTTCATGATTCACTCCAGAACTTATATGTGGTGGTTAACCTCTAAATCTGTGAGACCAATGCCAATGTATGTACCTCATGCATGAACAACATGAACATCTCAACCGTTTCACAAATTTTGCCAACATTTATGATTTCAAGTAGGAATTCCCATGAATTTCACCTCAATATCATTAGATATATCTTGGCATCAAAAATTGATATTCATGTATTGAACAAATGTGACATATAATCCATATATAACATCTCAAGATAGTCATTTCTCTGAGACTTCTCAGGTGCTTCTTATCCATCCATCTCCTAAATTAACTGTACGTACACAAGAAATAATACACAAATACATACCAATTATAAACATTCCAAGAGTACAAAAGTCAATTTCTTGATCAAGGGATATTTGATCATCTTCATCCATATTTAAAGATAGTATTTGAAATTTATAGAAGAAAATGTATAGATTTTAAAGAAGGTTGAGAGATGAATGAGGAGTTGAAGTAAATATAAGGCTGAGAAATGGGTTTCCAAATGTTGATGCAAGCCAACAGCCCACCAGGTGTCACAACACAAAGGGTTAGTGGCAGCCTTGTAGTCTTGCAGCCTCGTACTACTTGATTAGGTAATCACTGATAGAACATCCAATTTTACCAATAAAGGGGAAAGCTCATGTGAGGCTAGGCAGTCCAATTCAGGAGCTTGGTCGGTCATAGCTGGTCTGGGGATAAATCATTCGAACATATTCAACTCCTCCTACTCCTCCTACTCCTCCTACTCCTCCTACTCCTCCACTCCTCCACTCCTCCACTGCTACCTCCTTTCTCCTCTTCAACCTCAATATCTCTCTATTATTTGCTTCATTGTGTAAGAGCTTCTTGTTGTCGCTCAATACATATATTGCAATTTACTTGAGTATTTGAGTAATTTGAATAATTTGGATACCATTTACTTCCTCCTCCTCCCTTGCATTACTCCTATCCAAACACATTCGATCTTTCCTTCTCAGTTCAATATGGCTACAAACAATATGCATAACTTAACTACTCTCATAAAAAGGTAATAATACTTCCATATTTCTGGCTTCTTTATACCAATCATTCAACAATCCATCCCCCAATATCAAACTCAAACGATTCTATCACTCTTACTCTCACTCTCAATCGAGAACAAGAAACAGGAAGAAGACCAAATCATGTCGGAAATAGATCCAACAATAACCAAATATGAACTAACAATCATGATTTCAAGGCTCGAAGCTGCTACATCAAGATTGGAAGATATTGCTTCATCTACAGTTCCACCACCAATCGATACCCCAAAAACAACTGGTTCTCCAACTCAACAAGCTACCGCAGATCCTTCACTACCACATATTGCTGTGCAAGCTTCAGCCATTAAGAAAGTTGTCGAAGAACATGTTCCAGAAACCGTCGTAGAATTCGATAGCTTCATTCAAGGAGCTGTTAAGAAATATGTCAATCTTAGTGATGAAATTGGAGGAGTTGTCGCTGAACAGGTTGGTGTTTTAATAAATGAAGGAACCAAAGGTAGTAGCTAATTGTATACATCATAGGCATCTAGTGTATTGAAGGCATATGTCGGACAACGAAGATATATCTTGATTACTACGAAATCGAAGAAACCTAGCATGAAAGATCAACCATATCAAAATCTCATCAAACCTCTTCAGGACTCATTTACTGCCGTTGATGATATTCGAAAGTCCAATCGTGCATCACCATACTTCAATCATCTCAGTGCTGTTTCGGAAAGTATTGGTGTACTTGCTTGGGTTACGATGGAAACCAAAGGACACAAACATGTTGATGAATCATTGGGATCGGCGCAATACTATGGTAATAGAGTTTTGAAGGAATTCAAGGAGAAGTAAATCATTTCTCTTGAGATACCAATGACTATCACTAATGTCAATTTACAGAGACCCAAAACAAGTCGAATGGATTCAAGCTTTTTATCAAATCTTCAGAGACCTCAGCGAATATGTGAAGGAAAACTTTCCAAATGGTATCCCATGGAATCCCAAGGGCTTAGATTTGGAAGATGCATCCAAGGATGTAGATCAAAAGGCTCCATCCCCTCTTGCACCTCATCCAAAAGCTGCCACAGGAGGAGCTGCTGCACCACCACCGCCACCTCCTCCTCCTCCACCACCTCCTCCGCCAGTTTTTGACGCCATTCCATCAAAACCAGCGCCAAATCAAGCAGATGCAGGAGCTGGATTAGGAGCTGTTTTCTCGGAATTGAATAAGGGATCAGATGTTACCAAAGGATTGCGCAAAGTTAATGCTGAACAAATGACACATAAGAATCCTTCTTTGAGAGCAAGTGCTACGGTTCCAACAAGAAGTGATAGTCAAACTAGTATTAATTCGATTCATGCAAAGAGTCCTGCTCCGGGTAAGAAACCTAAGCCAGAGAGTATGAGAACCAAGAAACCTCCTGTGAAGAAGTTGGAGGGTAACAAGTGGTTTATTGTAAGTCATTCACCTTTGATAAATGGTAGGGTATATATTAATATTCGAAAAGGAAAACTACGAAAATGAATCCGCTCCAATTGAAATTGAAGCATCAATCTCCCACTCCATCCTCATTTCTCGCTGCTCCAAAACCACAATCATGATCAAAGGCAAAGCAAATGCAATCTCAATCGACAACAGTCCTCGACTTTCCCTCATTGTCGAATCCCTAGTTTCATCTATCGATGTTATCAAAGCACCAAACTTCGCATTACAAGTATTGGGCGTTCTCCCAACTGTTTTATTGGATCAAGTTGATGGAGCGCAAATTTATCTTGGGAAGGAAAGTTTGAATACGGAGGTTTTCACGAGTAAATGTAGTAGTGTTAATGTGTTATTGCCGGATTTGGAAAGTGAAGAGGGTGAGGGTGATTATAAGGAGGTACCTTTGCCTGAACAGTTGAGGACGTGGATTGAGAATGGGAAGGTTAAGACGGAGATTGTGGAACATTCTGGTTAGATGGGATGGGATGGGATGTGGTGTTAGTGAGTAAGGTAGGGCAAGTGAGGATGGGCGTGGTGATGGGCATGGTGATGTGATGGTGATGATGTAATATAGGGAGGGTATGAAATGGGGTGGGATGGACTGGACTGGAACTGATGGATGGATGGATGGATGAAAGAAGTGTTATATTATCGTATATTAGTTGAAGTGTCAGGTAGGCAGTCTCAAAATCGAATGTAAGTAAGTAGGTACGCTTAATGCCTATCTATCTAATAGATTTTAGAAGAAACGCTCCGTTGTTATACTAGTTTTTGAACAAGTTGTATTGTATTGATTGATTGATTGATTGATTG